GGCCGCTCGTGCCGCGCGGTTCACCCAGCCGGGGACGGCGCAGCCTTTCCTGGAACCGTGGGGTGTTCCAGCTCGCCAGGCAAGCGGCCAAACAGATAATGAGCTATGGGGGAACGAACATGGCAGACTGGAAAATAACTCTCGGGATAAAGGGCCACTAACGGCGCAGTTGCCTATGAGATACAGGAACGGCCGGAGGAATGCGCACGGCGGAGAGGGCCTCTGCGAGCAGCGCGAGACGCCGGGGCAGCCTGGCAACACGGGCAAAGGATTGCTCGGCGAAAGCTTGACGCTGCCCTGATCCGTGGCCCTGAGGCGGGACAGACGGACACAGCTGGGTCATCCCCACCAGCTGCCTCCTGTGCACTGAAGGGATGGTCCTCATCGCAGGGGAGCAGCTTTTGGGATGTGTGTAGGGGAGGAGGCAGAGTGCTGCCTGGCCCTGTGCTGGAGGGATGGGTGCTGAGCCGCAGCAGCCACCCCCTGGCTGCCTCTGGCAAGAGGGACCCAAAGGAAAGCGCACGAGGACTGTGCTCCTGCTGTACCTGCTGAAGCAGCCCATGATTAGGTAACACCAGCCACCAAGAGAACAGCAGAGCAAGGCACCGTCACAGCCTGTCAGGACAATCAGACCCTATTTCAGCCTAGCCCTGGCACTGGGATGTTTCTGTGCTCACAGGAGCGTCACCAATGCCAACAGTGGAGATGCTTTATCTGACTCTCTGTGTCTGCTCCTTACTATCAACACGCTCTGCCTCCGGATCCCATGTGGAAAGCGAAGGTGGCCTTCATTGAAGAAAACGCGGGAGCCCTTTCTCCAGTGGCAAGTTACTTTTTAAATCATTGCAACTAGCTAACGCAGGACAGGCAGCGCCGAGAGATCAGCACATCTCGGCAGTTGATAGCCGACACAAGCGAGCTTCTCTAGGTCACGGCATTACATGTGAGGTCCCATAATCGCTTACGTCACACGGAGAAAGCAAACATTTCCAGCTAGAGAAGCTTTCTCACCCCAGCTGACCACTAAGCAGAGGGCAATATACACTATACTATTCCTGTTTGCAAAAAAAAAAAAAAAAAAAAAGGCAAGCCAAGTACATCTGAAGACACTTTTTGCATCCCTGTTGCCCTCCACCCTCCTGGCTACAGGCTTTCCCTGTAGTTAAGGCCGCTCACATCATCAGAGACCGCAGCCTTTCTCATCTGCCACTATGGTGTTGCAGGCTGCCACAATAAAGCACTTGTCAGTTAAGCCGTAAACTCTGCGATGCTCATACAACACCTTCAACGCCATGAGGAGCACAGCCATCGATGTAACACCAACGTGGGACTAGCACAACACCAGCAGCAGTGCTGCAACATTTCTATAGATACTTGATGCTTCCAGCTAGCAAGCAAGAGAGGATTTTTGAGTGTGATCTCTCTCTGTAGAAATCACACTCAAAAGAATCAGCCTGAACAGAGAGAAACACATACTTTCCTTTCTCTTCCCCCCCAACTTTTTTTTTTTTTTTTAAACAATTCAATCACATTTCCAACATATTATCTATGTTTACAGCTCTGGGAACTTATCAGATTTGGAGACCACAGCCAGTCAGAGCAGAGAAGAAGCCCTTTGAACATCAATCAGAAGTTCTCATTTCTATAAACCACAGAGACTGGCTGGCTCACACTCAATTGCGGACTTTCCAAATCATCCTCTTGACCCTTCTATTAAGGCTGTTTCTGCCAAGTCACAATAGACCGTGTAAAAAGATCCCACAGGACAAGCTAAAAAGTTGTTTGCCGTAGCCTTACACAACCTTTCTTAGTAGCCAGCAAACGTTGGTGAGGGACTGGAGGATCTGCTCTTCACTACGCACCGCTGCTGACCACTTCTGAGCACGTAGGGAACGCATTTAACCCACCAACAGCTCAAATAGATGTTTTCCTGCCGCAGCACGAGTGCCTTCACAGCACTCATCTGTCCCACAGCACTGCGGGGCCTTCCAGAGCTCCCCAATACAAGTCAGACTCTTACCAGTGACACCGCATCGGGTTCCTCTGTAAATTCTTTCAAGCTCAAACTCTTCTTACTTGAAACCTGGAGGGGAGAAAGAGACAGAAGTTACCAACTCACATGGACCGGTCCTTTTCCCCCTTGCTTCATTTTCAAAATTTTTGCTTCATTTCATTTCACAAAACTTCATTTTCAGCCACAGCTGAGAAGTCTCATGGTTAGGGAAATCAAACTGGACTCCTTGCAGCCACTGACATGGATAGCTGCTAAGGAAGGCCACAACGGAACAACCTGCCAAATGTTTCTTTATTGGCAAGTGAGTATTTGCCATTTGAGAAGTGTTTGCGGAAGAGTTTCCAACCAGCTCTTTGGGGCAGAGATATTGGGTACCACCTGGGCTGGTGATGGGACTGAGTCACCCCAAACACTCCTCCGACATCCTGACACACGTGGGGAGCACCCTTTCGGGGGGAGAACAGCACCCAGCACCACATGCCCATCTTGCTTCAAAAGCATGAAAAAAAAAAAAAGTAGTCCTGGCAATCCTCATCTCCAGCTCAAGGACTAATGGATTGCTTCCGCCCTCAGGCTTTTTAATTATAATTTTTTTTACTTTGTACCATTTTTCCCCAAACTTTAGAAGGTCTGAGGAAAAGTCAGCGATGCGCATACTGGCAGAACGAGTATTACTACCAGATTATAAATAACGCATACACACACCCTACGAGAGAACAGAAACTCTGCTGGGCCCTGCCTAGTTCATCCGTGACCCAGAAAACGTCACGAGCAGCTCGCTGCATGGGACGGGACGCCTATGTGGCACATGAACAACAGCGGATGGGCTCAGCTCTGCCCCTGCCAGGACACTAAGAACAAGCCTGGCCTCCACACTGTGATCTCCAAGAGAATATCACAAACCAATGGAAACAGCCACTGTTGTTTTGGGGTACAAACTCAGCTCAGGGACAGTGGGTTGGATGCCATGAGCGAGTCTTCAAAAGCTCAAGCTCTGCCGAGGGACTCAAAAGGCCCATTTGGGCATGTGTTCGATCAAAGGGTCATGGCTGCGTTCCTGTCAGACAGCACATGGTCATGGGGAGGACATGTGGCTTAACACCGGCTCAGGCAGGGGTTAGTCCTTTGCTCCTGCTCATACCCCAAAATGTCAACCTCAGGGTGCTGACGGGAGACCTTCTCAAAGGCAAAGCAGCCAGAGCATCTCACCTTCAAAGGGCGTTGCCAATGCTAGCTACTAAATCCCTGCGCTCATAGTGCTGTCCTGGTTTTGGAGAGAGGAGAAGCAGATAGAGAAAGGGAGTTACTTGCCAAGGGGGACAGCGCAAACTGAGAGACGCAGGGGCTGGCAGCGTTAGGAGGTGCTGCTGTTCTCAGCAGGCATCCCCAGGCACATCTCCTTCCCCTCTCCCTGTCCCAGATCCTTGCTGTGGGGTGACAACCCCTCTGAGATCTGAAGGCACTAAGGATAGTCACTAACACAAGGACACCGGGAGGAGGGAGCCCGCCTGGTTTGCACGCCATCCCACGTGGTAGCAGGGAGGAAGATGCCAGCAAAGCAAGAGACGTGGAAAAGTGCCCTGTGACACTAGCCTCTGCCGCCCTCCTGCAGGGGACCAGGGAGGCCTCTGGGAGAAGTCCAAAGCCTTCACACGGAAGGAGAAAAACTCTGCTCCCTGAGACACAGCCCCAGGGGCAAGCGCTGAGCAGCGGGGCTGTCGAAATGCTGGTAGACTCGGAGAGGGGGCCTCCCTGGCATGAGCCAAGCTCCCAGCGCCACGACAGAGTAAAGGGTACCTGTAGGTGTGTGCAGACTCTCCTCAGCACATCGTACACGCTGTCCCGGGAGATCAGGGACACAAAAATGTACTGCAAAAGAGAGAGAAGCTGCTGTGAGAGATTTTTCTTGCTCAATCCGTCCTGCCGCACAGGAGGGGACAGAGCCCACCAGTTCAGCCCCAGGCAGACAGGGGCACCAACCCATGAGTTACCCTGCAGCATCTTTTTAGGAAAGAGCCCAGTGGGATAAAAAGCGCTGGCAGGGCTCCGTTATCCATCTTGGTTGAGAGCGAGAGGAAGATCCACTAGCTCAGGGGACCATGAAGGCAAAGGAGATATTGAACACAACCAACAGCAGCTTGGCTTAATGGTCTCATGTGGAAGTACAACTTCTGCTTCCAGAGGGCTTTGCTGGAGGGTCGGTGTCCCAAAGGTAGGAGACAGGCAGAGACGTCCTGCCCTTGAATCTCCTGCCCTTTGGGAGCCATGTCCCCTCCGTCCTCCCTGCAGATATCTCCCTGCTGAGTTTCCCAGTTGCTATTTTTTGAAGCAGGCTAAAACGTGGACCAGATTTTTTGGGGCCAGTTTTGTTTTAGCTGCTGTCCCTGCAGGGCCTCCCATGCTCAGCTGAGCGTCTGCTGGCTCCAAGCGGGACGGTGTGGAGGAGAACAGGGGCGAGAGCAACCAGAAGCATCCTACGGGCTACGATTTGGCGTGAGGGGAGACAGAAGTAGCACTCGCCCTGTCCGCTGCGCAGGGCCCATGTGACGCGCAAAGAGGTCTTGCAGCCAGAACGGCTGGAAAAGGGGGATGATTTTAATCACCTGTGTTCTGTAATCCTGCGTTCTGCTACCCCCTGCTAAAATCCCGTACATGTTATCTACTCCTGCCACCCTCCCTGGGAGAGGGCAGCTAACTGCATACTGCCTTGAGCTAGGCTTCATCGGTCACTCTCAGCAACACAGCACCCTTGGCAGGCAGGGAGTTAGGGAGCACCAAACAGGAATACGTCAGCACATTTCAGCAGGCAGCAACCAACGCGTTTTTAAGTTCAACCGCAGCTCTGAATACAGCCTGGTAACCAAACCTTCTGCCAACTTGGGTTGAATTTTGGCCCAAACCCCATCCCTCCTTGGGTTTAAGTAGTTTATAGGGTTCATTGGAGCCTGGCAGGGATTTGCCAACCTCTGCTGAGTCTCACTTGGGGTTTGCTTCAGCCAGAAACAAAGTGAAATTCAGAAACAAAAGCAAAGCGGCAGTGTTTGCCCTGGCCAGCCGCCAGCATAAAGAACTCCGCTCGCTTCCTGAAGAGCCTGCAGTTTCAGCTGAGGATGGCAATATTGCGGTCCTGGTCTCAAATCACTGTGTGGTTACCACAGACAACTCCAACAGCTTCCGTGGGCTAGCCCAGAGCTGCTGCACCCAGCCCCTCGCGAGGAAGGGTAAAGGGACTTTCCCCGCAGGGAGGGCTCCGAGGCCGAGGCCACGGCTCACAGCATACCCAGGCCCGGGCAGCAAGAAGGGCTGCGTGTGCGGTTTTGCATATGCCTAGGAAAGAGGCAGCTCTGCAGTGAGACTAGCAGAAACCCCTGCACTGTCTGCGGCTGCTGCAGCCCACAAGCACCGGGGCTCAAACTGACATCCGCCAGGAGTACGGTGGTGGCTACAGGGACAGGACGCTGAGACGCTTTACCTTTCTGCTGGCGTTGGTGGTGATAGCCAGCCCGTTTGGCAGCAGTCGGGCTGTCTTGTGCTTTTTTATGAGCTGAACGGAAACCACGGGGATCACAACCTGGAAGGCAAAACACACGGTCACATTGGTGACAAGCTGCAGAGCCAAGTCGGGTCCCCGGCGCTGCGCTGCGTTGCTGAGCTCCAGGCCACCAGCACCTAGGGAGGATCGCAAGCACACCCGGCCGACGCTGCACCCGGACAAAGCATCTTGCACGGCACAGGGCTCGATCAGACCCTGCCCCGGACCATACGTGAACAACGAGGCCAAACCAAGACTACTCGGCCCTTCCTGACCTCAGGGTGTTGGCTCACACGTGTGCATTTTCTTTGAAACGCGGAGATTTAACATGCATCAAGTAGAAGTGTAATTGCACACCAAACAGAACAGTAACACAGGGATTCAGCATTTCCCAGAGACAGCTTTGCTTTTATTAAAGGTCACCGTGCCCCCCACGTTAATCTCAGCTTGGAGTTAGTTTCTATTTGATCAAAACAGTGAGAACACAGGGAAACCATCATCCAACATAAACACAGCAAGCCTGCGTAAGACCCGTTGAGAGACACATACCAAGTTTCTGCAAGCGAGGCCACGGTTAAAAGTAAGGCAGGATGTAATTTATGGCAGAATAACTTCATTGAAACACGATTAGCTTTGGAAGTGACATGCTGTACTTCCATCAGATATTTGTTTAAAGCTGCTGATATAAATAATTCAGTTCTTCAGCCCAGTTTTAAAGGAAGTCATTTCTCCTGAAGATCCCCATCAGCCACACCATTAACTGAAAAAAGTCAGATTGTAAGTCAAGCGGAAAAGCCAGGAGAGATTCAGATCTCCTCTAGAATCCTCCTGAAACCTTTGATCTTCCTTCAAACACCGTTGTGGCTCGTATGAGGTTTTGCATTAGGGAATTTTAAAGCACATCAATATTTGCTTTCCCAAGGCAGATCCTGCAGGTTATTGGAAGAAGAGACACAGCTGCACTCCCCTGCCTGTCAATGCAAAGCAACCCTGCTCTTGAACCACAGCTGCCACGTTTCGACAGCTCTTTTGGTGGGCCGGGGAAGGGATAAGCAGGCTGCAGCGATAGCCTGGGCCAAGCAACCATTCGGGACAGAGCTGGTGGATGCGGAGGGAGGGCTGTGCCTGCAGAAAGCGGGCACTGGAGGTGGGACCCCGTGCCCCAGGCTGAGGCACCGTGTTACCTTGATGTCTTTCCCAAAGAGGTTTGCATAGAAGCAGAGCCAGTTGGGGGAGATGTAAAGCCTTCCCTGGATGAGGATATCCCTCTGGAGCGCGCAGGAGCAAACTGTAACACAGAGCGGCAGGGCAGACAGCATGACAAAACCCACCGGCCCAGGAGCAGGCACTGTTCACCCACCCGCCTGCTCTGCGGCGGCACGGGGCTCCCATCCTCCCCCGTCAGCCTGCCCAGCAATCCAGCTGGCTTTCGTGGCGCGGCCGCCAGGCCTGGCCAACACATGCTTGAAGCGCAGCCTGGGAAGGCACCGGCCGCCAACCGCCCTGTGCCTCCAGCCTCAGCTGCTGCCCAGCATCCGCGGCTCCCCATCCCCGTGACAGAGGCGTCGCGCAGCTCCCCTCCCGGCTGCGAGGCCGCTCTCGCTGGGCCGCTCACCTTTCAGCACGCTCTCCTCCGTCGGGATGTCCTTGAACAGCTTGTGGTACTGGGAGTTGTACTTGCTAGCGGCCTGGAAACGGAGCAGAAGCAGAGCAAGCAAAGTTACGCCGTGACCTTGCTGATACGGAGACCGATACAGGCCCCGGCACAAAAGCTCCCGAGGACAGGGGAGACTTCATGACCGACAAGGTCCCCCGGACCCGGGGGACGCGAGAAGCACCCCAAAACTGCAGAGACAAGGGGCTGCAGGAGGGTCTCGAGCAGCACAAGGCTTGCGACGCCGGCCCAGCAAGGGCCGTGCCTCCCCCAGTGCCCGCGTAAACGTTTCCACTAATATCTAAGGTTTATCTAGAGGAGACGTCTGAGCCTCTCTTAGGAGTCAGGTTAATCAGAAGGCAATTATTTTGCCCAACGGCTTCTCTCCTCTTCCACGAGCTCTCCCCTTATCCAGGGCAAGGCGACAACACTTGCTTTGCGCCCCTCGCGCCGCGCCATCCAGCTCCCTCTGTTCCCGGTGCCTCTTCAACGCGGCGCGCGGCAGGAGGAGCGGCAGCGAGCAGCGGCGCCGACGCGCAGAGGTGGCAGGCCCCCCCTCCGCCAGCACAGCACTCTGCACCTTGCCACAGCAGTTCAACAGTTCTAAATATAAGTTAAATACATGGAAGTAGTTCAACGCTTGGCATTCAGTTTGCTCAACGAGACAGTCCTCCAAGACGGCACAAGCAGTTTTTTAGATTAGGATCTCGGCATATCTTATAAATATCAGTTCAGCCCTGCCCGGGCAGAGCCCCGGCCAACCAACGCTGTCAAGCAGGCGAGCTTGGTGCCCCTCGGGCTCATCTGAGCTGGAGGGCGATCTAGGCAGACCAGGCAGGCATTCCCGCGCCGCGGGGTCTGCTTGGGACGCTTCCTCCGGCGGTGACGCAGTCCGCGGCTCAGCCAAGGGGTGCGGGAGAGGATTCCTGCCCCGGACGAGGGAGCGCTTCCTGCTGCGTCGGGGCTCGCCGGCAGCTCCCCGGCGGGGCGCTCGTAGCACGGTTGTCCTGCGTGATGCTCGCAGCTGTCACCCGAAATTCCAAGGGAAAAAATCCAAGGGATCAGGTGCCTTCCAGGGACACAGACGGGACCGGCAGAGCACGAAGGACCCGGGGCAGCAAGGCTTGTTTGCAGGCAGCGCTGCAGGCTCTACTGCCCACAGCGACAAGGTCACCTTAGCCCCGCACACCTTGTCATCGGATGAGCTGGGCCTTAAGAGGATCAGGGCTCAGCATCACCTGGGGTCGGCTTAGCTTGACATCCCCCTGGAGAGGCACGAGATCGGTGGAGGGAGCGTTTCAGGGCTTTTGGGAGGAGTCAAGGGGGACCACGGCCCTGGCTCCAAGCCTCCCCCGGGCTGCCTTCCCCAAGTCAAGAAACATCCACAATCCCAGTGCAAGCAAGTTGCCATCTCTCGCTGCCTCCCATACACTACTAAACGCGGGAGAGGCCCCCAGCTGCCTGGCGGCCTGCCCAACGTTCATAACCCTCCCAGATGCCCTGAATAATCTGCAAAATATTTTGCTAAATATATCTCCTCCTGCCTCCGCTTCAACTGCCATCGCTTCGGAGCTGAAGAACAAGGTGCGTCCTTGGCTGGCCGCGGGCTCAGCAGGGACGCGGGAGCAGAGCTGCGATCCTCCGCGGGCCTGGGAAGGCAGCGCCCACGGCCGCTGGAAGGAGAGGAGAAATCCCTGCGCCGTCGGCGGCCAAGCCCGGGCAGGAAGGCGCCTGCTCCTTGCCAAGCGCAGAGCCCTACCAGAGCGTGAAAGCCAACTCAGAAGTAGGACAGGCCATTTGTTCTCTTGAGAAACCCCTGAGCGAGGCCAAAGGAGGGCTCAGTTCCCGACAAGGCCAAGCTTATTTCAGGAAGAGGAAAAAAACGTATCCAGGCCCTCAAAAAAAAAAAAAAAAAAAAGGGGGATTAGGAGCAAGAGAGGACAGCTCTCTCA